CCCACAAGCTATGCACCGATTCGGTGCAAATAAAGTGGGCCAAGGCTAGGTACCCCATGACCCGACTGTGTTTTCACTCGCGCATAGGAGCGTCTCAAACCTCAAGGCAGATTCAGTATTACACGGCTCGCAGTAATATGGGCTTACGAAATGGTGTTGACTTGAGCACAGCTAGAATGCGCGGGTGGCGTGTAGCTGGACAGTGATAACTTTAGTCTAAAAGTGCTAGGCGCCAATCCCTCAGTACTAGCGCGTACGGAGATCCTGCGTGCGATCCGACACCCAATCATCAAGGCTCAATCTCCGCTTTGTTTTGTTTAGCTCCACCACCGTCTTGGCAACACACCGGTCCCAGCAATGCGATCAGCAACTTCCTTCCAGCCCTGACTGGGACGTGTGCCAAGGGTTTGCGTCACGCCCATGCTTGTCCGTAGCGGCTTGTGCTGAACAGCACGAATCCTAATACACCAATAGGCGCCGCGAATCATTGCCCGATAGATATTAGTACTCAGAAATCCTATACATGTGATCAATCCCGTGACTGCTCCTCCCCCTATTCTGCGGTTCCTCCGTAACATGAAAAGCCTCATCCTCGATTTGTATTTTGCCCAACATGGGCCTATCCGAGAGTAAAGTGGTAGCGGACACCTTTTCTAGAGCCTGCCTCAATGCTGAAAATTCTGGGAGGATTAATATCGCTAACCTCCTTTCTGACAAAAAGGTACGCATCTCGTGCGGGTGTCCCGGACAAGCTAAAAAGTAACAGTTCATGAAATCCCTTCGGGAGGTTTGGGCACATATCCCAGATAGTACCAGAAGAAGCATCGGCAGACGGCGGCAGACAGAGGGCCGAAAACAGTCGCATGGGAAATTGAGCGCACAAAAGATAGCAGTTTCAGAGACTTTGATGGCCAATGTACCGAAATGGCTTGAAAAGGCATCTTCGTTCTTTCTAGATGAAAAGATCAATCTAGACCTGGAGGACTCACCCATCGCTGGAGCCTATCTATGTCTTGAGAAATTGGAACGTCGAGAAGGTATTGATCTTATTCGTGCCCGCTTTTTGAAAGTTGTATTCCACCGGCTGAAGGGGGAGTTATGCCTACCTTATTTGCGCTCAGACGATGTTGACGAAGTGACGAGGATAATACTGAACGCTGAGCTGGTTTCAAGTGACTCATTTAGCGTCAAATCTAACTTTGTTCGGTGGGCAGATCAAGGTGCAAAGATTGATGCCTTCTGTCGAAGTATTGGAGGCTCTTCAAAAAACGACAACGCACACTTCGGCAATCTCTTCTGCTTACCAATAGACTGTCATGATGAGTTGTTCGTTATCTGGTTCAAACTTTCCCAACCCCGGACAAGCACTGACCATTGCAAAGCATAAGACTGTTTGGGGATCAGGACGTCGAAAGAATCAAGAAGAGAGGTATATTGGATGTGCAGGGCAGGGCAAGTTTGGATAAACTTGCGGCCGATGTTTTTGATGTTCTTTGGAGAAAGCTTACGGCATGGCTTGAAGGACAACAATCGCTGGAACCATTTTCAAGTGAGAGAAAATTACAAAAGCGCTGCCGAGTTCTTAGCTAATAAGATTCTTCAAAGGACAAGGAAGATATCGAGGGAGAACTCTGCAAAATACGCGATTTTTTCAAATAGAACGGCAACCCCCTGGGAGAGTCTTGCCAACGGGTTCAGCAAATGGCGAGCCATCGCAGATTTTCGGCACAATTGAGGATATCTCTCCTGACCCTCGATCTCTTCTCCACACAATCCATGGTTCAGCCGCGACCTCATCGACCGTTGCCCAGAGCAGGCTACGGGAGCCAACAATCCGTTCATTTGATAATGCCAGAATCCCTATGAGCGGTACTGGCTCGCACAATGGAGAAATTTCATCTGACGTGGGGGAGACCGTTGATGTGCACGATACGCTCGAACCTGTTCTGCCGGTGCAGGACCTCGAATCATCTCTTCATGAACAAGCCTCGATTAATATGGCTAGTAGCGATGTCCATGACATGATCCAGCCATTGATACCGCCGCAAGATTCTGCATCGTCAAATAGGCTGAACCATAGGTTTCAGCCACCACAACCGTGCAAGGCTATGGTCCAATTCACGGACAAGCTTCGATCGATATGGCTAGTACCGATGTCCACGACATGATCCAGCCAATACTGCCACCGCAAGCTTTTGCATCGGCCAATGGAATGAACCATGGGTTCCAGCCACCACAACCCGTGCAAGGCTATGGTCCAATTCACGGACAAGTTTCGATCGATATGGCTAGTACCGATGCCCACGACATGGTCCGGCCAACTCACTCGCCACAAGTCTTTATCTCGTCAAATAGCCAACAACCTCAAAGGAATGACTTGGAAATGGACAATTTGCACCATATGTTTCCATCAACTCTACGTGTTCAAGCTTCAGATCCAGTGGAGAGCCAGACGTCGAAACGGAATCGCTTTATAGCGCCAATGATAACGGAGACCGAGAACATGTATGTCCAAGATCATCCTCATAGCCCTTTTACACCTGTCTTTGCGATGTGAGGTCTAAGCACCTTTGTTGTTGTTGTTGTTGTTGTTATTAGCCTGATGGATGGCATGACCTGTCAGGCTTCTACGGCATCTCTTGGCCGTGCCCCTTCTCTGCTCTGTACCAGGGTTCTTCGTACTTATATTACTTATTTATCACGAGTTCTACTGATTTATTTGGTCCTTTCGCTTTTTCTCTTCCCAAATGTTACGAGCTTCTGCTCACTGTTGCTGTTCATTTACTTTGAATGTATTTCTTGTGCATCGTTCCCGCCGAACAAACCGGACACGTAATTCAGTTACACCCCTTGAAGCCCAAGAAACGTTTTGGTTATTTTCGTACGGGATATCATCGCCGTCGACGCTTATAGAGGATTGACTTCCCCTCTCCTGAGCGTCGTCGACTTTGCGTCTCTCAAGCGCTTTGTTGCCGCGGCTTTCAAATCTCTTACAGCCAACAATTTTGATGGGGAAGGGAAGTTTTAAGTCTCCGAGTCAGGAAAGTGCTGGTGCTTGCTAACCGGCACATTCTCACGGGAAACTCACCGAACCTGTTCACGCGGCACATATTCGGCCACGTGGTGAGACTGAGACACATGCGCTGAACTTACTGTCAACCCTGACAAACCGCCAGAAAACAAGACCGCTGTCAAGCAGCAGAGCCTGGCTGATCGCAGAGCGACCGATCCGGAGCGCCCGCAAGCTCATAGATAGTCAATACCCATTGCGCCCAGTCTCGGGCGGGAAGAAGGCCGAGTAGTTATCTAGAAATTGAATATGTGAACACTTAGCAGTATCCACCGTCCAAGATCGCCCCTCTCATGAATCCGCACATTTCTTAATGCTGTACGATATAGCACATTCAGAAACCATCGCGCACTTATTCTCAATATAAAACCATCCCGTTTCCTCTATAGCTGTGCTGTTCTTTTGCTATGGGGGCGGAGGGGTGGGAGAACGGGAAGAGTTGATATGATATCACCTAGGTACAAAAAATATAGCTGCCGTTTGCGAATTCACCTCTGGGTCAGTCGTAGTTTCAACATAAAACCCTTCCTGCAGTGTTCCGTCTTGTGGTTTCCCTTCTTGCGGCGTTATTTCACGTAGTGTCTTCTCAGAAAGTGGAACAAAAATTCCTCTCTTTCGTTTATTCCCTACCGTTGTGGGGACTGCGAAGTATAGCAAACGCCAACCCCAGTTCTACTAAACATCAATCCCATATTCAGTGAAAGACGATCTGAACACATACTGGTGGATCTGGTATGGGCAATTGTCCCGAAAGAAGCGAAATTTGTTCCGCAAGTAAGTCTCCTCCATAAGTTTTGTTCCCGTTCCCCTCCGTTTTGAGAATCTCCGCATTGCTTTCAACGGTTTGACCTGACAGTTCAGGAATCATTGACTTTATTTTGAGGCGGATAATTTCGGCGGCGGGTGATAGTTCCTGCGGATTCATTTTGACGAGAGTTGATAATTATCCGGGGACACTGATCTGAGGCAGCGGGTGCCTAATGAGTTAACAACTAAAGATTGCTTCCTACCGTAGGAGGAAGATCCACACACCTTTGACGCATAGGAAATACAAATTATGGAGCAGCGTCCCTTCTATGTCGTTGACGACGTCGATAATAACGCGACGAGGGGGAGGGGCAGAAATGGTAAAAGGTTCTGGCGCCATTGGGTATCTTATCACGTGATTGACCCACCCTTTGGGTGCGTATCTGGCCAATGGGCAAGGCAAGGGACTTACTTCCACCAGTAACTTGTTCCTAAGACTCAGATCTTGGCAAGGAGTATATAGTTTCGCAGGAGATCGAGTGTTTAGATCGTAGGCGATTATGTAGACCCAAAATCAATTTGGGAATCATCGCCATTTTGACGTGAGTATATACCAAGCAAGCCATTACTAAACAGATGTGCTAGCTCGGGGGCTTCATGAAAAAAATAGGAAAGGGCCAGGGTATTTGAAAAGGGAAAGGAGAAATAAAAATTTTAAAAAAGATTTTGGAAAGAAACTGGCGTGTAGCCCCGTGACATCACAAATATCCTTCTTCCAACCACCAGAGTGAACATTGTCAGGCCCAATGCACCAAGGATAGTCGCGATCGGCAGGCATCACATAGAATTATTGATATATTGCAAGGATTGAGCGGCATTTGTTCGGGCGGCGGAAGAAGAGAAGCGTACATCGACGGTGTTCAATGCCTGCAGGAGACAGCGGGCACTTCGAAAATTTCCCGTTCCAGCAACCTTCAATAATGCAAACAAGCGAGATATCGCATGCGCTTGGTAAAAGGTTTCTCTTTGGCCAACGCGCTCGGCTGTTAGTGGGAGAGTAATCTTTAAAGAGGTCGATTTCAAACCCGTTGCCAGTTACAACCTCATACACGACTGCTCCAAGGAGGCCAACGTCGATTTGCGTAGTGAACCCATTGTCATCCACAGTCTCCATATTTAATCTCTATGGGAAGAGTGATGCCGCCGAGAAATCGCAGAATCTGAGGAGTAAATGGGGATTCAGTAGAAAATTTCGACTCACGGTGTCCGCGACAAGTACACATCTGTCATGGATATAGCCGAGCGTGCGAGCCATGTCATGGAAACATGTGAGTTGAAGCTAGTAGGAAGGTCAGCACTTGATAAAGCAATTTCGAAGATCGCCATTAGCCGTGTAGGCAAGTTGCGTGGTTTCACTGGAAACCCCAATACAACGGACAAGCCTACAGAATGTTTATCTTTAAGACCCTGCAAGCGATAATAAACGTCTTTTCATGTATAAGACTTTGAATATTCCCTTCGATGTCGGAGTCTGAGCTCCAAAGGCATCTTAGAGGGATTTTCACGGCCACACTATTTTGAAGCACAACTAACGCCGAGTTTCCACTCCCGAGAACCTTCTCCTTAGAAATAGGATTGCTCTGAAGATCGAGAAACGGGGAAGACATGGTAAAAGAATGAAAGACAGTTGGATTGAGTTGACCATGCTTCAAGGGGTTGGCACTCCGTAGGACCGATTCTTAAATATAGTATGTCAATCACGTGACTACTCCACTGCAACCGTTCCTAAGTCCAGACCATCATTGATTCATTGCTTCCCTGCACCGATCGTCCTTCAGACTGTTTCCCTGACTATCCAAGAGTCTATGCGGCTCATTCCGCATGTGCCGATGAGTTTTTGGGCGCTTATGAAGTGGGAGTAACCGGGTCGCAAATGCTGCGCCTTGTGTCTGTTGTAGTTCAAAGGAAGATTGATTGTTTATTCAGAGGGAAACATGAGGCTATATATACAATGAGAAGGTCAAGATGATTGGAAAACAACTTGGTTCTTCGTATACATACTTCGGGATTAATTCCCATGGTTCGGCATGCTTCCTGATCTGCACCAGCCTCATATCACAAGTTCACAACAGTGTCAGCATCGACACACTATTTAACATGGCCTTCGGTAGGATCAAATTCGATACAGTTTCCTTGGGACTTACCCTTGCAGTCACGAAGCCTGTCGGGGGCCTTAAATCTCTTCCAGCACATCTTGCTGTTTAATGGATAGCCGTTACCCTGTAGAGTGGGATTTTTTAACAGCACCAGGCTTGACTTGATATCTAGATCTTACGGTATAGCAGATATAACCGGACACTGGCGAATTGGAGCTTGCACTTCCGACCGCGGCGCCTTGAAATACCCCGCAAACTCTGAGCCTCCCTGACTATTATTCCAAGCTCGGGCGGTAAGAGCGATCAATGTATCTCTGCTGGTATTGATTGCAACATCCCGCCCCATAGGATTGTCCCCAAATGGCAAACTTCGTTGGTACCAAAGGGATTCAACCTTTTGAGATATTCCCTTTTGAATTAGCTAGCTCTGAACGCAGCCCATTGTGCTAAAACTCGTACATCGCTAGGCCAAAGACGAACCATCAATTGACTACAGAAATAGCGATCACGTGGGGGCTCGACTTAGGGCGAGAGGTCGAAAATGGACATGAAAAGGTCTAGACTACTTTGCTGCATAAGCGGTCCGCTACCATTGGTGGATTAACCGCGGCTCTGAGTACCCCAAATGGCAAATCGCTTTGGTGCCAACGAGATTTCCTTTTTTGGGATAACCCAGTCAGCTTTCAAATGCGCATCCCTTGCTGTAGAATCCACTGCTTACTATTTTCACAGTTGCTAGGAAGTCTTAGGTTTTCTCTTCACAGTTATTTGATTACGTGGTTTTTCGCCCACTAAGCCAGCCAGCGATGCAATCGAAACTCAGATCACACCTTAATTTATGTTGCATTTGCAGACACCAGCTTGGACATAATTTGACTTCCGTAAGCACTGGGAAGGTATTTCTAATTACCCGCTTGGATTTGGGGACAATTTCCTTATCAGGCAAACCTCAGGGTCAAACTCTACACTTCTTGGCCCGGCCCAGAAAGTAGCAAAACAGCTTCCCGAGGTGGTTTCATTTTCAATTTTTCAAATTGAGAATACGGAGTAAGAGGTGCTATGCAAGGGAGTCGGCTTAACCGATACCTGGATGCCTCTCGCGACGAATGGAAAGCTGACCGTAATTCTCTTTATCAATGTACGCGAAGTACAGATCAGGCAGTTCACCTCCGTTACAGCTGCGTTGGGTTTATATATCGATCCAATAATAAAAGTTATAAGGTCCATTCAAACAGAAGAACCCATTGCAGATACCTACCATTCCGTGTATTTGTCAAAGCTATATTCAGTATATATTGGAAATGGTGAAAGCTTTGAGTGGGTGCTGCTTGTACTCGTTTTGGTGTTCCAATGTGACTTGGCAGTGACTGACCGCTGATAAACCGACAAGGGTGCTTTGGTGATGGAAAACTGGAAGTCTTTCGTATTTCTCATCATGTCCTCACACTTGTGCCCGTCTGGCTTGATACAAGCATCAAAGCCACTCTGATTCCTGAGCCTCCGTTTATTCAGCTGGATCCATGACTCCACATATAGACCCAAGAGGTCCCTGAGCCACCAGCAATGTTCTCCGGAGTGACAATGGATCTACAAGCAATTCTTCAGGGCTTTTCACATAGTGAGGATGTTTTCTATGCAAATAAAGCAACGCAAAAAATCATTAGTTGCTACCTTGTGTGACACTAATGACCACTACACGAAGCCTTTCCCGGAACTCAGGGCGGCGTGTACGAAGAAATATCCCTTCCTCGAATCAGAAATGATTCCGACTGCTCACCTCTATACGGCATTGATGACGCAGTCGACCTACTACACACTCAACGATAACCTGGGAAAGCTCTTCCAAGCACTTCTATGTCAGCATCTTCAGAACGAAAGCTTCAGGGTCAGTGATATGGGTCGGTTCACTCACATTTCATTGGTCTGGATCCCGTGCGACCTGTTTTATGATATGCAGGATTTCAATGATAGATATGATGTGGTGTATCAGTCCAGACTTTCCAAAAACGCGGTTTTGGAACGATTTTATCCTGTCCGAAGTGCCGACGGCGCGATTGAGCAGTGGCCAGTCGAGTTTTCCAAGAGTGATTTCAAATCGGCATCTCGGATAGGTACACTGGAACATCTATCATGGCTTTTTCGTTTCTGCATTGATTCCGTTCAAATTGATTGTTCTACCTCAACTATACTACTCATCGTACAATGCGCCGCACTTTCTCAATATCAGAATTCAATTATGCTGTGTCTTGGCCCGCAACTTGTACATTGGCAGACTTCTTCACCGAGAATCATGCACACAAGAGAAAAGCTACTAGCACAAGGCAATTATGCTCAGATTCAGAACCACTTTGGACCACGATAGTTTATACACCGTGAATCTATACAGAATCGCTAGTAATTTGTCTTAGTCGCAAGGATTTAAATTTACAGCTCAAGCCCACAGCAAGCCACAGCAAGCAAGGCCCCACAGCCAAAGAATGAGGCTTGATTATCATATAAGTCTTCCTCGAGCACATCCAAATCTATGCTGCTCTATTCCAATTGAGAGCTAGTCGAAGTGCAAATACCAACCATGATTCGCCCTAACGATCAATTCAATACAGGGTATGTTCATTTCATTGATTAGTGATCTTAAACCAGGCTAAGCTTTGCAGAAGCAGTGCATACGATACAATGGGGGTCAAGAAACTAGGCGTCCCACCTCCACCGCCAAAGTAAAGACGAAGTTTCAGCCCCCATTCGGGATATAATATAAATACTAGCTGCCCAAAATACTGTTCCTATGCCATTGTACACAACGAAGAAATACATCACAGATCATCAACAGATTATCGGTGTTCATCTCCACTCCAAATACCAAACCCCTCAGAGATTCTTGCTTTCCCACCTAAAATGTCCGAACAACCTGATGAGGCACTTCATTCTCTCCTTGATTCCTTTGCCCCGGGGCTTTCATGGCTTATCCGGCTAATCTCGGCCGCACTGGGCGTTAACATATTGTCTTCTGTTCTGCCGTTGGTTGCCCTTCCGATCATTTCGACATTCTTACTGCCGTCACTTTCGCGAGCTCTGGAACCCATTATTTCACTATTTGTCGCCTCCGCAGAAATTAGACACCGGAATAATCTATACCCTCAAGTTATGAGATGGGTATCTAGTGTCAGGTTTCACGGCAGCTCAAGCTCGGTTATCGTTGGAATTACGGAGGCATTCGGATTTCTTTGGGATTCCAACGACGACTCTCTTCAGTATGTGGAGACAGAAATCCCAGCATATCGAGGAAAGATAGAGAAGCTTCGCATCACTCCGGGACAAGAGCGTTTTCATTTCTTTCGGTATCAGAAATGTTGGTTTGCCTTCTACCGCGACCCGCACCGCAATGCTCTGGATCCCTTCTCGAGAAATGCCGAGAATATCACTATTTATTACATGTCCTGGAACAAGGCTGTTTTTGAAAATCTTCTGGTGGATATCCAAAAATTCAATGTTGACTGCCGCCGCGGACAATTGGCCGTGTTCTGTGCACGCCAAGATAAGCGGGATGCGGGCTGGCAAAACATGTGCGACGAGATTCCTCGGAGCCTGGACAGCCTAGCACAGGATAAAGAAATGAAGCGAGAAATGATCGAAGATATTGAAAAATTCCTCAGCAAAGCCGTTACCGATTTTTATCGGAAACGTGGCATCCCGCATCGACGAGGCTATCTCTTCCATGGCCCACCGGGGACTGGTAAGAGCTGCTGCTGCAAGGTGATTGCCACCCACTTTGAGCTTCCGATATATATATTCAACCTCGCCACTGTTGATGATTATGGCCTACAAGAATTGTTCCGCACACTACCGGCCCCTCCTGCACGCTGTATGGTGGTACTTGAAGATATAGACACCACCGGGATTGATCAGCGTGGAAATACAGTGAACGAAGAAAAAGATGCATCTCGTAAGAAAGGAATAACGCTGGCAACTTTTCTGAATGCTTTAGATGGCATCGGAGCGCACAACGGCCATATACTCGTTGCCACCACGAATGCTAAACCAACACTTGATCCGGCTCTGACTCGACCTGGACGGATAGACAAGCAATTCGAGTTCCGAAACCCTGATGCACCGACCGTACACGACTACTTCTCTTTCTTTTTTGGTAATGATGATGCCGATGCAAAGTCCCCGAATACAACGCTTGATCAGCTGGCCAGTCAATTTTCCGATGTCGTCTCTCATTTGGCCTTGTCACCTGCTACACTGCAAGAGTATTTCTTGCAGTGCAATGAAGACCCGGTGATGGCAGTCAAGAATGTGGCGAAACTAGAGTCCACCGACCTACAACCGGCTGGTCCTTAGAATTACCCGCGGCGATTAAACTTGAGGCTGGTTTACTTCTGATGGTAGGAATATTATCCTGGTACACATTACTTTCTTTTATCTTTGTATTTGAGAACTTGAAGTACAGTCCTAGTGTCGTGACACAAGCAAAAGTCCGGAGGTCTGCAGCATTCAACAGCAGGACCCAG